AATTAGCACATCTTTGAAATAGGCAGTGCGGCGGGATTTGTATTAAAACAGCAAATACAAACCCAGCCGAGGTACCCGCTGCAAAGGTGGCTGAGAGTTCCGGGAAACGCATGGCGTTTCCCTGGCGCGAGATCAGGGAGCCCGGCGCCCCGTCGCCTCCGCCGGCTTTATCTGCTGCGGGCTCCGGCGCTTCTGCGGCCTTGGGTGCGGGATTTGGAGGTGTAGCTTTTAAGATTAAAATACAATAAACGTGAAGGGAGGGTAGGGGACAAGAAAGGAGGGGAAGAAGCCACTGCGCGACGTCTGAAGACGAGGGGTGGGGTAGTGGACTAGAAAGAGGAGGGAAAGGGGCGGCGGGGGGACGGCGAGACTCAGAGTGGAGAGAAAATTGGTCAACGCCCCCAAGTGTTATCCGATTTTAGATTTGGGTTTCCAAGGGAAAAGGCGGGGGCAAAAGGGATCAGTTCGCGCCGGCGGGCAGTGCAGATCCTTCGCAAGGAGCTGGGAGGAGGGGTTTCGGGACTTCTGGCAGCCCTCAGAGACCCTGCCCGCCCCGCCGGGTCCCGGCCTACCCAGTAGCCCCCAGCACTCGACTCCGGCGGGACGGCGCCTGGAAGACAGCGGCGAGGCAGGAGACTGCTTCGGCCATCCCCGGGTCCGGGCTGGAGAAGGTGCGGGTCCCTCGCTTCTCTCCCCTTCACAGGGGGTCTGGGGACGTGGGACGATCTGCTTGCGTGCTTTAATCAGCTTGGTTTGGTCGGTTCAGGCCAGGGTCGTTGGGCGGGGGCGCTGCGCCCACGGCCGGGTCCCCATGCCGGCTCCAAATCGCCGCCGACAGCGCCCAGCGTGCTCAGCTCCAAGTTGGAAGACCCTGAAGTTGCCTTGAAAGAAATATTAAATACGCCAATTCTAAGACTAGGGCCAAGCAGGGCGTTATTTTATTTGTTTGGATTTTCAGTTGGCACATCTCAGAAAAAACCTCCTTGCCTGGAGCAATAATACCGGCCGTTACTAAGCAGTGCTCCCCAGTAGCGGGGTTTGTCTTCCCCGAAGACAAAAACTCTCTTTTCTTTGCTGGATTCGCTCGGTTGTTGCAGCTCGCTGCAAACGCAGACTCCCCGCTCTCGAAGCGGCGAGAGAGGGCCGATAGTGCGGCCTTCCCGAACCCGAGCTCTAGATGGCGCCAGAGAGCCGCACTCACCAAGCTCCTCTTAAAGGAATCAAGAGCGACTGTCAAACATAAAAGCAAATCAGAGTTTTCAGTTTTTTTAATGTGTTAAGAATGTTATTCCTTAAGAAAATTTGTAGCTAAATTATTCTCACTTAAAATAAACACTTAGTATACCAATTACACAAATGGGCGGGATTTATGTAAGATTTACTTCATCTGCATTTTTGTAGTGGGAGAGAGCCTCGGCGAATACAGATAATAGATGCAAATAAGATTAGAGTTAAAATAAATAAAGTTTCCATCTGAATAAAAAGAAATTCAATTTTACACGACTTATAACGATTTGACGGAATGTCCAGACAAGCCGCTCAGGTGCACCATCTAATCGCGTCAAAATAATGTTTTCCCTCCTGAAGAAGAGAAAAATCTTTCTCTTTTCTTTCTTTTTTTCGTTCTTTCTCCGCACCCCCCACCCCTCACATCAGGTAGAATTCGATTCACTTCAAGGGTTAAAAAAAAAAAAGTAAATAAAGCCAGAAAAGGCAGAACTCGGCGGGAGGGTGTGGATTGCGGCTGGTTGAGAGAAGGGCCGAGGAAAACTTGGTCTTCGTTCCTCTCCTGCGCAGGAAGAGAAGCTACAGCGCAGGAAATACTTGGAGACACCGGCTGAAACGAAATCGAATTTCCTCTTACCCGGGACTGAGAGGACTCAGGGCCCCTGCCTGCGCCCCCAACCCCACACCAGCCTCCGAGCTGCGGCCCTCGCCTGCTCCCGGATCAGAGCCGGGCCCAGGAAGCCCCGAGGTGGCCCTGGGGAGACGCGGCCCCACCTCGGGTGGAGACCGAACTCGTCTCGGGGTTCCTGGGCTCCCTCCTCCCACGCCCGCCCTCCCCAATTTGCTGGGGCCCAGCAGGTCGCAGCCCGCTCCGACCTAGGTATCCCCGCGCCCCCAGGGCCCCCTGGGGCCGGAGGTTGGGGAAGAGGGCGGGAGTCTCCCTTGCCTGCTAGTTTCGGCTGGGGGCAGGGGCCCTCTCCCTCCGCGTGCAGGTTTCGTGAGCTCCGCTCTCCCGGCTGGACGCTCACGCCCGCCCGCCGCCCGCGGTTCTGGGGAGCCGGGGTGATGGACGTCCGCTGACCCGCGGGGCACAGGCAGCGCGCAGAGGCCTTGATCACTGGGCTGCGGAGGGAGTCGCGAGGCGAGCGGGACCTGCGCGGCCAGGCCCTTTGATCTGCCTTTATTATCCACGAGAAACAAAGCTGCCTGGGGCAGACGCCCGGGCGCCCTTATTCCCCGGGAGACCCCACCACACCCTCACCTCCGCGCCGTCTACCCTCAGCGCCCCAAACACGCCAGGCACGCTCTCGACCTCCAGCTCCTCGGCCCCAAGCCCCTAGGGTGAACGTAGCCCTGGCCAGCTTCTCCAGGCCAGGCCTGGACGAGAGGGCGCGCGGAGTGTAGCCCGGAGGCCCCGGTGATAAACTGAGCCAGAAGAGAAAATGGCCAGAGAAAAGAAACTCGAGGAAGAGCCGGCCAGCCGAGGTTTCGGGGACGCAGGAAGGGGGAGCGGGAAGTCACCCAGCCGAGACTCTGCAAACGCCCGACTGGAGACCTTCGCTGTACATTTTATCGCTACTTTGCTACTTGGCTTTTCACTGCAGTTTGAGAGAAAATTTTTGTTGACTTAATAACAACAGTTTATTTTTTTTTCTCCTCTATAAAAATCAAAACATTCTTTCCAGTTCCCAAGACAATAATTTTTTTAATTCTTCACACTGCCCCACACAACTGAGGCTGACTTTGCTTCTATTTTCTATTGTGAGGGGAGCCTTTTAGATATAGTTTTTATTCTGTAAATATGTACTTCATTTTCTAAATTAACATTTTTTCGAATTGCGAAATTATTTCATTTACCAATTTTCTTTTCGTTTCTCCCTCTCTTTTAAACCGGGGCTGTTAAGTTGGTGGTCAGAAGACAAAGAGAGTGAAAATAATTTTCATTTCAATAATTGCCTTCTGGTCAATTTAACTGTGCCTTATTTTGAAAGAGACTGTCTAAATGAGATTCCTGTCCCAAATGTGTTCCCAGGCCTGATCCCAGCCTTTAATTATTCCTGAGTTTTTTTTTCTTCAGAATAAGACGCCGCACTGAGTAATCACAAAGAAGTCAGAGAGCATCCTTGAACCTTTTCAGAAGCAGCGCCACTGATATTCAAATAACCTGCGAGGGCCATTTGACGGCGCGGGGACCTAGGCATTTCCAATTCACTATTTGCATAGATCAGCCGTCTTTGAAAAGGAAAGGAGCAGTTGTCTTCCATAACATTAAAAAGCCTAGTTATCAAATCAAGTGCTTAGTTTGGGGGCTTTTAAAACGTTTACATTTTATCTCAGGTTGCCCTTTACCGTTTGACATGCAAATTTGGTGCAGTTAATTTAGACAATTAAAAAGATCTTCAAGGGAGCTTTGTCACGGAGAATATTTGGAGTTTTCCCCGTGGACCAGCTGAGATAAAGTTGGCCAGAACAAATGATGTCTAGGAGATTAATTAGATATTTGATAAGACATGAATCCCTAATAAGGGAATACAAGGCACAGGGGGCTGCTGTGTGCTCTAAGTCAAAATTAATAACATTTAACAAGATTTTCATTTAGGCATGAAATGTCTTTTCCGGGGTATTGACTCTAGCGATTTATTCCCTTGAGTCACCTCCCAACCGTAGAGGGTCTTGGGAGGTAAAAGACTTCTTTTTTAAAAGCTTTTTCCTTTCACTCATTGTGCCAAATCGCTTTTTAAAAACAAACAAACCCACTGGAGTTTTGTTTGACCTCTCTGGCAGGGGTAGGCACCTCCCCAGTTAAAACTGCCAAGGACCTTTGCTTTTTCGAAGGGTTTCCAGACTTTTAAAATGTCACCTTTTGAGAACTGTCTCCTTAAGTAATACAACTACACCTTATAACCCCATTTAATTTATGCTGTTAACATACAAATAAATAATTGACTTTGCAAAAAACGTACATGTATTATGGCTTTTTATAACTCACATAAACCTCACATTACCTAAGACTAACATTAAGGGAATTTTTCCCAACAAAAAAAGTCTACCCATGTAAAGGTTACTAGTGGGGGTGGGAGGGGTAACAGGATTAAAAAAAAAGAAAGTGTATTGTTCAGAGTCCTTTAATAATACCAAAATGAAAATATGGTGTCAAGATTTTCTTCATACAGATAAACGCATTTAATTTCTTTAGATGACCTTAACTTACGTGTTTGTGAGTGAAATGATAACTCAACATTTTAAATATCTTTTACATATATACTGACTTTCACAAAGTGCATCAGAAAATTAAAAAAAAACTCCCTGAATTTCAGGAATTCACCAAAGGGGGGAAAAAAACAAACCTCTATTCGAATGAACACTTACAAGAAAATAAAAGAGAACACAATCTTTTGAACCCTATTTATACAGATGTTATGAAATACAGAGAAACTGTCACTAGACTTCCAGCTTAATTTCTCACCTTCAGCCTTTTTTGATGCTTCCTTTTATAGGAAATAAAAAGTTTCACTGTAAGTAGATATCAAGCAGGACTTGGAGCATTTTATATATAATATAATCCACGCAAAGGGTCTGTTTTTATAGGTCCCGTTTGTTCTCAAATGTTCTGACAGTCCTTTGCAGGGTGGTGACTCGTTTTTGGAGAAAAGGAAAGAGAAGGGTGGAGGAAGGGGGTGGGCGGTGGGGGGAGGAGGGAACGTTTCTATGTATTGCTCTTCGCTCGAGAAGTTTGTGCGAGTGGTGTGTTAGTGTGTGTGTGCACGCTTGAGTGTGCGTGCTTGTGGTTGTAGGTCTCCGGCGTGTGTGTCTGTGTGTGCAGTTTTTTAAAGTGTTTGTGTCGCAAGTTGGTTCGCTTTTGTTCCTGGAACACGCGTTCGATTCTCTTCTGGACTCGGGCAGCAGAGGGGAGCTCCTGGCTTGGCAGGCGAGCGGCGGTCCGNCCCCCCGGCGGCGGCGGCCGCGGCGCCCGAGATCATGGCGCTGGCTGCGGCGGCCGCCACCGCGGCGCTGGAGTCCGAGTAAGAGGGCAGCACCGGCTTGAAGCCGTCCTGGGCCAGCAGGTGCTGGCTGGTGGAGAGCAAGTGCGAGGCGGCGGCGGCCGAGGAGCCGAGGCCCGTGGAGCTGAAGGCCGAGTGCGTGAGCGAGCTGAAGTCGGGGTTGTAGGTGCCGAGCTGCGAGTGCAGCGAGGCTTGGGGGGCGCCCGAGTGCAGCGAGCTCTGGAGCCCCCCAGCGGGGTTCTGCACCTCCAGCCACGAGCCCGGGCTGCTGTGCACGTCCCACCACGACGACGCAGCGCCGTTGGTCACCTCGCCCGCCGCCAGCGTCGAGTGGAAGCCTGACTTGTACCACGACTCGTACGGGTGCGCCATGCCCACGCGCGGGTACAGGCCGTCGGCCGCCGTCGTGTGCACCTTGGAGATGAAGGCCGATTGGCCGCCCGCCTCCTGCGGGGACACGCCGGCCGCTGCCGCCGCGGCCGCCGCCGAGTTGGAGAAGAGGCCGCCGTAGTCGCTGCTGAAAGCGGACGACGTAGGGGACGTGGAGGCCAAGCAGAAGGCGCTGTTGGCTGCGCCCGAGCCTCCCGCCAGGCCGCCCGAGCCGCGGCCGCCGGTGGCCACTGCGAAGCCCGAGAGGCTGGACCCGAGGTTGCAGCTGGACGAGGAGCGCTTCCAGGGATGGAAGCCGCCCTTGGCGAAGGCGCTCGACTCCGGCAGCGTCGTCAGCGGGCTCGTGTTGCCGATCTTGTTACAGGTCGCCGCCAGCATGGCCAACGGGGTCGTTCCGAAGCGCGGCTCTTCCTAGAGTGGGTGGGGTGGAGTGGGGTGGGGTGGGGTGGAGGAGGGAGCAAGGAGGAGGAGGAGGGCAGGAACAAGTGGGAGGAAGACAAAGTGCACCCGTGAGCAGCCCCGTCCCCCAGCCGCTGGTCCCGGGGCGGCGGGCGGGGGGTCGTGGCCCCCCAACTCGCGCCTCCTCCCGGTGCGCTCGCGGAGGATGCCCCGCGCGGGGCAGAGGCGATCCCAAGAGAGAGGGTCCCGGAGCTGTAAAGTTGTTCTTCGTTGAGGCTACAAATCAAAGTGTGTCGGTTCTCCCCGCCTCAGTCGCTGCATATCCTGCCCCAAACAGGACTCAAGTCGCTCGCCTTCCGCTCGCCATAAGTCCGCTCCTCTCAAAGAAGCTCCCAAGTCGCCCTCCGGGATGAAGCGCGGAGGTTAACACATCGACAGCAAACACCAGGTGAGGATAGAGGCGGCCGGAACAGCGGCCGGGGTGGGGGAAACTTGGGGCACTGCTCCCAAGGGTGGCTGCGACTTCATTCTTTTTAATAGAAAACGTTTTAAATGTTTACATACACACACACACACACACACACACACACACGAAGACAAGAATCCGAGCAGAAGAGACCCCCGCGATGGATTTCAGTCATAGACGAACTAGGGAGCCGCAGAAGTGTAAATGTTAACGTGACTACATGGTCTGCAAAACGATTAAGACTGTTTTCTGGAAACACCGCTGTCGCGTAATTGCAACAATCCCCTAAGCGGGGTTGGGGGGGGGGGGAGATGGGATATAAATCACGCGGGGAAGAAAAGGAACCTCTAAAACCAAATATTGAAAGGACTTGCTTAACAAATCCTTTTCTTTCAAAGGCACCTCCTGGATTCCAATAATTTGGAAAGAATGAGTCCCAGAAATGTGGAAAGTGCTCAAAGAAGCTGAGGCTGCATTCGGGCAGCAACAGTTTCTCCAGAGCCTCCAAACTGGAGAAGCCATAACGAAAAATTACTCCTGTTAAAACAAGCAAATACCGCACTTTCGACTTACCCCAAGTATAGACGTGGCCATAGCAGGTCCCTGGGTGGCGTGGCGGGGCCTGGAGCGAGGCTGAGCCTGGCGGCTGCTCGGAAAAACTGTTCGGGTTCCGCGCGGCTCCCGCGTCCCCGCGCTCGCGCCGAGCGGACTCCGGGCTCCCGCCGGCTAAACTCAGCCTAAGTGAGAGGAGCACCCGCTTTGAAGTGCCGCTGGCTGCGCTTCTTACCCAATGAGGGCGCAGGCAGAGCAGACGGGAGCTGCCCAGCAGCCAATCAGACGCGCCGAGGGGCCCAAGCCCGGGCTCCCGGCGCGTGCCAGTCACCGCGGCTAGCGGGGTGGGGGGCGGGGGCGGTCGCCGGCTAGGGACTGAAGAAATTACAGCGCAATTAAAAATTTACACACACTCACCAAGCCAGGTTTAAGTATCGTTGAGACTGAGTCACAAGCTTCCCCACCCCCACCCCCGCTGCGGCCTCCCTAAGATGGTGCAAGTTAGGACTGACAGTCCTCGACTCTCCACTTGTGGGAAAGGAGACAGGAGGGGAGGGGGCGCCGAGGCGGAGGCCACACGGGCAAGGCCCAAGTAGAGATGAAAATGTCAACGCTCACTTTGTGTATCCAGGCTCTCGCCTGCGGAGCACAACTTCAGCTGGAATCCATCATTCTCTCTCGCGATTGTATCATTGTCACTTGTCTACCTGGTTCCAGATTCCCACTGGATTCAGTTTTACTCAGAGTCACATTGAGGAGAAGGGGTGAAGGGACAGCTCCTCCGAAAGGATAGAAATAGGCCTCTTCGTCTAGGTCTACACCCACAGACTTGTTGGGAGGGCCTGGAGCCTACCGCATCCCGCCATTTCCCCTAGCGGTCTATGTGACTTCCTAATTGTCGCTCTGGCCTCTGACCCAGTGGGTAATACAAGTGCCACTCACACCCGAAGCTTCAAGTGGTAATTGAGGGCACCCTTTGTACCGTTTGCCAGCGCCTAGATACCAGGTTAACCCAGTTGTCAAATATGACTAAACAGCGGGACGTGCTGATTATCTGCCAGGTTTCGCTGGGGGCTGGCGTGGGGGTGGGAGACATCAGCCCATACAACACGCTGCACGAAGCCGCTTATTTTCACAATGCAACGACTTTGGAAACAGAGATCGGCGCGAGCCGCGTCCGCCCCCACCGCCACCCCCGCTGAAGCTGCAGCTTGTTCGGCTGTTTGTTTAACCCGGTGAAGATTTGCATGTCACGTTTCAGCCCGGAATCGAGTTTCTTGCCCCAGCTCCAACCCCCTCAGACTCCAGGCTGTCTGGGCCTAGAGGCTCCTCTGAAGGGCAAGGACGCCGGGTTGAGGGGTGGGCTCGCCCCTAGCTCCCTGCTTTCCTGGACGTGCTCAGGGAGCTTCTCACCCGGACCTCTGTCCGTGAGTACCAGGGACGAGGCCACACGTGGGCGCCTCCACATTTTGCAAGCTGGAAGCATCTTAAAGTCCTCTTCGGATCCTGTCGTGTGAGAAGACACGTCCTCAGACAACTAACTACGCTCCTGGAGCCCCTCAGTACCCGCTGAGGTGGTTTTTTGTTTTGTTTTGTTTTTTCTTTCTGGGTCTCCCCTTCTTTTTCTTCAGAGTAGCCAGGAGCAGCTTTTGAATCAGAAATATCAGTGCCCTCGACAGACGTGGGTACTGGTTTTAATGTACCACATTTCCCCCTGAAAGCCCACATCCTGCTCTAAAAGACATTTTAAACCACGAACCTCAACAGCTTGGGTGCAAAAGACGAGTTGTTGCGGAGGGGGAGCATACAGTACCTCTTGACCCAAAAAGTGCGACCACCGTGGCTCATCTCTTGGCCCTGAGATGGAGTCTGCGTGCATCCTGGTGCACTTCGTAGGTGGAGAAGACTATATGGGTTGCTTTCTTTGCTTTTCGTTAGAATATCTTGGCTCAAATGCTCCCCGCCCCCCCACTTTGGTCTAAGGTGGCGAAAAGGCCGAGGAAAGTACGACAGAGAAAGAGGAGAGAAGAGGGAGAGTGGGAAGACCCGCGCGGCTCTAATGAAGCTTTGTGTCCCGGGGATTTAATAGAAATTGGCGGGGGAGAGGGGTAAGGGGGAGTGTGTAAAGCCTCGGGGACTCGGCGTGGAGGGGTGAGGCGGCATCCTAGCAGCCTGGAAGAACCAGAAAGCCCGGCAGGGGGACCCGGGAGCCCTTCCCAACAGGTGACTTCTGCCCTGGGAGAGCAGACTGGTGTTCGGCTTCCCGTAGAGTCTTCGCGTCGTTGTACTAATAGAGGGATTGTTAAGTGGCAGCGAGGCGTTGCCGACTCACCCAGTGTAGCCCGGGGAGGAGAAGCGCGGAGGTTCCCCCCAGCCACCTCCTCCCCCACCCCCAACACACCCTCTCTTTAAGGAAACCTGACAAAGTAATAAGACAATCCAAAAAGCCACTTAGCACTGGTGACATTTTCAAGTCAACCATTTAAAACAATTCACGCTGGCACCTCTCCGGGCGCCCAGGTTGCCTTCTTCTTCTCCTCTTCCTCTTCCTCCCTTCTCCTCCCCTCCCCCTCCCTCCGTTTTCAGCATAGTTTCAGCTGTCAGATTCTACGTGGGCACTCGGATATTCTTTGGATACACATCACCGGATCACAATAAAAGTTAGAAAATCTTCCAGATGATCGCAGGTAGACGCCTTCAACTTTAAGGTGGGGTGCCCAAGGGAATCTTTCAGAAGTCCAGTTTTTTTTTCCCCCCGTGTGACAGATTTTTTTCATCCTCTAAAAAATCTAGTTTTTAAACAAAGATCAATGTGTTATGCTGAAGTGTTGAGCTGACTGTTAAAACATTTGGGGAAATAATGACAATGTAACAAAGGCCTGGTTTGGAGTGAATCATCACCCTTTTAAAAGTTAAAGCAATTTTCAGGAGAATAGCTTTCAGCAAACGCTTTACATTATTCAAAACGGCCAAATAATGCTCTATTATAGCGCCTGAATGCTGCCAGTCAGCCCCTAAGTGCAATTTGTGCAAAGGCCCCGGTGCCTTATCTCCACTTCTTTATAAAGAGGTGAATATAAAACAATTTCTTCCAAACCCAGACAGAGAGCACGAAAATTGCTTCCCTTTCTGCAATCAGGGCAATTTAACTGGAGTGCAATTAGCACTATTAAATGTCGATTCTGCATAAACAAATCTGACTGAGCAGTGAAAGTGGGGTGAGAACCTCATATACACTGAAACTGATTTTTTAAAATTATGTATCCGGGTCCTTTACAATTGATCCGTGACGTTTTCATCTTGGAATATATTTACATCGTAAATACGGTATGGTTAAATCAACAGAATTTTTTTTTTTGCAAAATAAAATTTCAATAGGAATCCTAATAAAGAATAGGGTAATTAAAGGGAAGAGTTCACTTCCTTTGAACAAATATTGTTTCCCCCATCTTGCCTCTCCTGAGAGCTTCGATCTGAGCAACTGCTCAAGTTGCTGCGTTGAGGAGGCAAAGCTGGGGAAACAATTCCGTCATTAGCGCGGACCCGAAGGATTGGAGCTGCTACGCCACAGGGAGAAAAAAAAAAAAAAATGCTTCTCCCTGATGCAATGGGAGACGGGAGAGGACCAGTTATCTTCTGAATAACTCGAAATATTAGGTGGATGCCCAGTGTCGCAAGAGCTCTAGCCAGTCGCAGAGTTGAGCTGCGGATATATGGCACGGGGGTGGGGTGGGGTGAGGTGAGGTGGAGTTGGGGAGACTTGAGGATGTGGGCGGGAGCGGAGGCGTCGAGGGAGGAGGAACAGAAGGTTCTTGCCCCGGCCCTGCTGGCTGCTGTCAAAGCCTCGGCCACCGGAACCAGGATGGCCAGGGGCAGGAGAGGGCCAGGAGAGGAGCCCTTTAAAAAGCATTTATCTGACCTGTCCTCCTCTCGCATGCCTTTATTTATTTGCTTAGCCACCAGGCTCCCTTTCTGAATAATATGCGCAATTAATTATGCTTTTCATTTGCATGATCTACACTACAGCAGTGATTATCAGGTCAGCACGGTGTGGGAGTTGGGGAGATACATTAATAATGAGTTAAAAACAAAACAAACAAAAAAAAACCCCACACACAGGGAAAGCTGCCCTTGTGTACCACAGTCACCTGCCACGAACAGGGGCTGAAAAAGCCAGTACAGAGGTGGGGTTGTTGAGTCCAATGAAGCGTTTCCTCAGTTGGAGTTTGTCAATAGTGGGTGACAATTAAATGCAGCTTTTAATTAGAAGGGAATCTTTTATCATGAACACATATCTATATTTTTAAAAGCACCAGCCTTGAGATCAACTGGATGGAGAAAATTAATTGAAAATTGACAAACTCTACCACAACTTCCATTGAGTTTTCACTTAATATCTGTTCTGTAACACCCTCATGCCATCCCAACCCTTGCAAATAAAAGAGGCAGAAAGGCTCAAGAGGCCACTGGAACTTTCATCTTTTCTCTACCTCAGAAGTGTTACTGCTCTTTAGAGATGGGAGGAGATGCAAATCCTTTTTGTCTCCAAGGTCTACTGGAGAAACTGAAAACCCTTAGTCTATTAAGGACACTCCGCACCTTTGCCACACAACTAATTTTCTGCTGCTAGATGTATTTGGGCCATATATTTTAAGCCTGCCTTGATCTGTTTATCTGAGCCAAAAATGCATGAACAATTAAATGAAAGACTCTGGTGTGTCAAAGGAAGGAAGGTGTCTGTAGACTGTGTGATGATTTTAATGACTGCAATTATTGGAAGATTATTCGACAAGCATCATAGATTTGTTTACTGCCTTACTTGGAAACTATGGGGGGCCTATTCACCTTGGGGTTTTACCTACCCCCCCAACCAACTATTACAGAGGGGTCTTAGACCTAAGCAAATGTGCCATTCAGTGCTGGCTTCCTTCTTTTTTAGGGTATTTCTACCAAAATGGAACGCATTTGTTGTCTCAGCCAACTCTGATGGAACCATCTTTGGAGACACTAAAGCAATCTTTTCACATAGACCCTATGTGTTAATATTAAAAAAAAAAAAAACAAACCGAAGGCCAGGGAATTCTGGTCATTCATCAGCTTTTCCTTGCCAGTGTATTAGTTTCCTCA